CTTATATATATTTCTTTCACCATGACCCTTTCTCATATGATCTCACCACTATACACACACACACACACACACACACACATACAATTCATGCAAGTAATTTTAGTTATAAATAGATTAAGTGAAAAAAAAATGTACATGGATATGTTACAGTATTTAGGAAGGTAACATGAGCAACTACATAATATTCGACTAGCATACATTAATTGAATTATAGGTAAGCCAGTGCACTGCTGAGCCCCAGGAATATGTCCCAACACTATGCAAGTCCTCAATGATCTCGTGCAGGAATTTTGGACTCACTCTGCTGCCACTCTTGTCAACAAACAATGTGTTATCTAACAACACCCATACCCAGGGAGTAGCCTGATCCACAGGCGACCGAGTTTTCCCATCAAGTGCTGTCAAAATCGAGGAAACTGTACCGCACCATGCCAGAAAGACTGCATCATCTTAGTTTTTGTGATCTGCAACATCTCCATGCAGTAAGTCTGGCAAAAGCTAGTGTTGGGGTCCACTGTAACTATATGTTCCTCTACACGAACTGCTAAAATCTCCCAAACATCGTGCATCATGATACTCATTTCACCAAACGGCATGTGAAACGAGTTAATATCAGGCTGCAGCGCTTGACAAATGCAGAAATAAGTGGATTATCCACATGAGTATGCATGGAATCCACTAGATGTGATAGCCCGGTCCGACCTATCAAATCTATTGCAGCGTGAGGCATATCAGAGAGCCAACTTCTCAACTTCTTGTGCACTCCATGTCCATTCTGGAATTTCAGTATGCCTCTAACCTTTTCACTCTACGTGCCCTAGAAAGCAGAGATAGCACTCCCATCAAGGGGGCCATCTGGCACTAGGCCTGGAACGATCCAGTCTTCTGCTGGTAGACTTCTAGATCGTTTGCTACTACCTAACATTGGAATAGAACATATATATTGTGACTAACTGTATCAATGATATGTTATTAAATAGAGATATTTATTGGTAAACCACAATAAGAAAGCAAATTATTTGTCTGTGAATCCAGTGCTCGCAAAACGGTCCCCAACACGTGGAGGAGCAGATCATTTCAGGAGCTTGTCGTGGAGAAGGAATGTTCTGGTGATCTCTATACTGAAAGTCCTCAGAATCCTCTGAGAACTGCAGCATCTCGAAATAAGACTCATCATAATCACCTTGCTGCTCGAAGCAGGATTGCTGAACTTTAAAATTGGTTTATGCCTGACTGAGGCGTCTCGAAGCGTCAGCCTGAAAACCCCCAAACTGCTGCTCTTGCAAAGACTAGTCAGCATGACCAGTCAGTCTCAAGTGAATCTGACGTTGCATCTCAGCGCCTCCCACCCTACGAGCAGAAGCATCTACATATCGATTCCTAGTGTGTCGGGATCCAGAATCAATGAACTCGATACGGTGGCCAGTCACGCAGGTCTACCATCAGCCTAAATCAATAGTTGAAACTAATAATTAGTCAACAATCTTTTCTTATCCATACATTTTATTAATCATTATAAAATAATTACAATCAACTAGTTATTACTAATATTTACGCATACTAATTTTAATTACTATTATTAATTATTACTATTTCCTAAAATATTAAATTGTAATATTGTTTAATAGTAACTACATATTACCTAATGTATACAGTAAATAAATATTTAATTCAAATACATTATTAAATATTCCAAGTAATTATTCCCTAAAGATAATATAAGTTAGATGCATTATCCTATGAATACATAATTAGTTTGTTATAATTAATTTTAATTCTTATTAATATAAATTCATATAATCACATTTAACTAATATATATAATACAATCATTAAAAGTATTAACAAATCAATATATAATTATTTTTTCCGAAACAATAGAGGCATTATATAAATACGCAAAAAAATGCAAATGAGCAGCCACCGGTTGAATACAAAGAGCCAACGACTGAATACAAACAACCAATAGCTGAACAAAAATGGGAGGACAGTCAACAAACCTCTTAGAGCCGACCCCAACAGGGTAATCCTCAGGAACACAACAAACTAGGACACTAAAAAGTTGGAACAAAACACAAAGACGACCCCAACAGGGTAATGCCCGAGTGTGGGATCCCAACAGGATAATATAGGTCACACGCGGGCTAACCGAGGTCAACGACCCAAACCTAAAACACAAGAACTAGCACATACAAAGACACTGAAAATACAAAACTAGAACAACAAAAAACTAAACTAATACACACAACCCTTCCCCGACAAACGAGCAGGCCCAAACAGTAATGAACAATCGACACAAGAAAGAGTCCCAGCCCGAGAAGCCACTACCGAAACTGCGCAACCACCTATACAGTAGCCAAAACTGGAACGGAACCAATCCCAGAATCGACCCACCTTCGACCGAAGGAAAACCGATCAACCAAACCCCACCCGCTCCTCCCGAACCTGTCTAACACCACTAGCCATGTTCAAGAGAGTCATGATCCCAACTCCCTCCGCCTAACACCACTAGCCGAAACGAGGAGGGGGTAGGTGGCACGATTTATCCACCCCGACCGCCACAAAAGAGACGTCGCAGCAGTCAGGGTCTCCCCCATCCTCGGGCCAGCACACCGCGCCAAGCACCACCGTAGTACTCCGGCCAACAACCACCCTCGGAAGCTCCGCCGGAAAGAAACGACAACCACCAACAGGGACTCCAAAGCCGGCAAAGCAGAAAGAGAGAAGAGCTTACCTACACCAATTGAAGGTCCGCCGGTGGCCGGGAGAACACCACCCATCGCCAACAGGACTCCGACCAAAGAGGCGGCCTCTCGAGACTCCAAATCCCCGTCAATTGGAGGGTAGCGACGCAGCAGAACCGCAGCATTTCGGGGCGTACGACGACTGAGGTGGGATGAGCGGTCAGAGGCCATAACACATAATTAATATAATTCCACTATTTGATTATATAAATATACAAACTAATTACTTAATAAAATTTTACAATTTTTTGTATATTAGAATACTAATTATAATTTTTAAAACATAATTACTCAACAAAACCATTTTATTACATATATTACAATAAATTCATTTCCTAAAAATACTAAAGTAAGGTGGATTATCCAATTAATAATTAGAATTATTATCATAATTTAAATATAAATACATTTAACTAATATATATTATATTATTTATAAGTAACATATTATTAATAAAAACAAAACAAATATCTGAATTAACTTAAATCAAAAGATAAATTCAATTCTATTATAAATATTTAAATATATTTTTATAATTTCAATTATTAAAAAAAAAACTAAAGAAAACAAAAATTTGTCGACCCGCCAGCCGAAGCTGCGGCCGATAACTTAAAAATATTTTAAAATAATTTACTAAGCGGAAAAAACAAATACCAAATGAATCATAAGACCTTTGTCTTTGCCATCAAGA